TGCTGGGCGCCGGGCCCTGCGCGCAGATGCGGTGGGCGAGCACGGCGTCGCTCAGCCGCTCGCCCTGGATGTGCTTGGGGCCGGCGCAGATCATGCTGTGCTCCTTGGCGCCCTTGAAGCTCTGCAGCCAGAAGAAGAGCGGGCAGATGCCGCGGCCACACTCCCACAGGTTCCCGGACAGCGTGATGGACACGAGCGAGATCCACGCGTCCACCGTGGCCTGGGACACGTTGGTCAGCTTGTTGGAGTCCAGGTTGAGCTTCTGCAGGTTGGGCAGGCAGCGGAAGGTGCCCGGCTCGATGCCGTGGATGTCGTTCCCGGACAGGTCGAGGTTGTGCAGCGAGGCCCAGGTCCACGTGAGGCCCTGGCTGATGGAGCGGATGCGGTTCCACTGCAGGTAGATGGAGCGGAGGTTGAAGAGGCGGGGAAAGTGCGCGAAGTTGATCTTGGAGAACTGGTTGTGCTCCAGGTGCAGCTCCTTGAGCTTCAGGAGGCCGGCGAAGGCGTTCCTGGACAGGCTGCGCAGGCGGTTGTAGCCCAGGTCCAGGAAGTCCAGGTTGCGGCAGTCCTGGAAGACGCGGATGGGCACGGTCTTGAGCGAGTTGGAGCGCAGGTGCAGGATGATGAGTTTGCGCAGGCCCTTGAACTGCTCGGACTGCAGCGTCTGCAGCTTGTTGTAGGACAGGTCCAGGTTGCGCAGGTTGGGCACCGGGTGGAAGGTCTTGTTGTGCAGGTGGGTGATTTTGTTGGAGCTCAGGATCAACTCTTTGAGTCTTCGGATCCCTTGAAAGGCGTCCTCGTCCACCGAGCTAATATAGTTGTGGTCCAGGTAAAGCCAAATGAGCTGGTTCAGGCCGGCGAACTGATTGGCTCTGAGCTTCTGGATGCTGTTGAAACGCAGAGACAGGCCCTGGGAGCCCCCGGAGATGTTCTCAGGGATGTCGGCGAAGGCGTGGGACTCACAGTACAGGATCTTGCCGTCACACCGGCAGTTCTTGGGGCAGGCCCTCTCCGCCCCCGCCGGCCCCGCCAGCAGCAGGGCCCCGAGCAGCGCCAGGGCCACGCTCAGGCCTCGCCGCTGCTCACCTGCACAGAGACCTAGGAGACAAACGCACACGGTGAGGGGTGAGCGGTGACGAGCGAACCACACAGCCCCAGCCCAGCGCTGGAGGCCCAGTTCCTGCTCCGGGCCCACCTGGAGGCCCTTCTCACGGCCTGGCTCCTGGGCCGGCTCTTTGTCCAGCTCCTGCTTCTCCTGCTTCTAGCCCTGTTCCTGGTCCAGCTCCTGCTCCAGGTCCTGCCCCTG